AGACAGGACTAAATCATGAGAGAAGACCTGACAAACCATGCCATCATGTGCTATTGCTGGTTTGCACAGCTATCTGCATTTTGAGTAAGCATCTTAACTGTTTGTAATGCAAGTGGGTTCAAAAACACTCATTTGGAAGCACAATGAGAGGTCAGCCATGAGCCTCTTACCTTTCCTTCTCCACCTGAGAAAGGCCACCAGTCCTAGCACCCCAGTTATGAGCATAGCTGTTGCCACTGCCACCCCAACAATGGCTCCGAGACTCAGGGGCTGAGACTCTGAGACTGTGAAGCCAGCTGAGGTAACTTCAGAGGCTACACTGGTGCTTCTCTCAGTGGTGGTCTTCATCTGGGTGGTGGTCTTGATGGCTGGGGAAAGAAAGATCAGAAGTCAGCAGATTCTCCTGCAAGAGTGGGAATTTGTGAGTGACAGGTCAGATCTCGTCTTGTTCAGAGGAATATGGAGAGGGGAGCAGTTCTCAGAGATCCACTCAGAGAGGAAGAAGGGGAGGCTTAGACTCCAGATGAGCAGAGCTGGGTAGAGGGATGCAAGTGTTGGAGCAGCTGCCTAGCAAGTGCCAAGCCTTGAGTTCAAACTCCAGTACCTCCAAACAAACAAACACAAAAGGATTCCAAACAACCAAGTTTAAATCCTGACTCTGTACTACTTTTCTTTTTTTCTTTCTTTTTTTTTCTTTTCTTTCTTTCTGTCTTTTTTTTTTTTTGTCCATTGTGGGGCTTGAACTCTGGGCCTGAGCACTGTCCTTGTGCCCTTCAGCTCAAGGTGATCGCTCTACCACTTGAGCCACAGTGCCACTTCTGTTTTTCTAGTGGTTTATTGGAGATGAGAGTCTCAGGGAGGGCTGGGAAGGTGGCTCAGTGGTAGAGTGCTTGCCTTGCATGCCTGAGGCCCTGGGTTTAATTCCTCAGCACCACATAAGCAAAAAGAAAAAACCGGAAGTGTGGCTGTGGCTCAAGTAGTAGAGCTCTAGCCTTGAGCTGAAGAGCTGAGGGACAGTGCACAGGCCCAGAGTTTAGGCCCCATGACCAGATCCAAAAAAAAAGTCTCAGGGACTTTCCTGCCCGGGCTGGCTTTGAACCTCAGATCTCAGCCTCCTGAGTAGCTCAGATTACAGGCGGGAGCCACCGGCGCCCAGCTATGTAACATTTCTCAATAGTGAATAAGAAGTCACTTCACTACTCAGAAATAAATCACAGGAATAGAACATCATTTTTGCCATAAAATCTATGAAACATAAAATATACCATTTAATCATCTGCAAGGGTGAATTTCAGTGGAACCGAGTACATTCATGTTACTGTACAGCCATTACTCTCTGCCAAATTCTAGAATTTTCTCATTATCCTAAATGGAAAGAAACTATGTGTACCCATTAAACTTGTGTCCATGCTTATGAGGAATTAATTATTTAAAAAACTGAATGCTGGTGGCTCATGCCTGTCATCCTAGCTCCCTAGGAGGCTTAGATCTGAGGATCATAGTTTGGAGGCAACCCGGGAAGGAAACTCTGAGGCTCTTATTTTCAGTTAACCAGCAAAAAGCCAAAAGTGGGGTTGTGGCTCTAAGTGGTAGAACACCAACCTTGAGCAAAAAAGCTAAGGCATAGGCCCTGAATTTAAGCCATAAGACTAGCACAAAAAGGAAAAAGAAAATGATATTCATAAAGAATTACCTGTGTCAAAACTACTATTCTGTACCCATAAATATTCATACTTAAAAATTAATTAGGAAGAAAATGAAACACTACAAAAGAAGAAATTAATTAATAACAGCATAAATCTCTCAATTGAGAACTAAAATGTTTTTAAT